TTGTAATATTCGTAATATCACCTGTTATTACTGTAATCCGATATATACTTGATAGTTATATTTAATTCTGCCATTCCTGCTGAGCAATTGCTCATAGGATCCAAGTCGGGTTATAAGGTTATTGGCCTATTTGAAGCCAACTTCGAAAGAGGGGAGTCCGAATATTGTAATATCTGTCCTCTGAGCCTTAAAGTAACTGAATTCTGATGAATTCATTTCTGAAATTGGAAAATCTTATGGCACCCAAGGCCATCTTCCATGGATACCTCATACTTGCACATTAGGTTGTCCAATACTGATACCTATCCTATTTTATTATATATTAACTCAAATTATTTTAAATCAAATTTTAATTGATAATCAGATTAGATTTTATTTTATTTTAATAATTATAGATTATTAATAGTTAAATTTGCTTATATAAAATTCTTATAACGGATTATATTTTTATGACCAAATTTATTATAATATAGCATGTTTTAACTTTTAAAATTTCGGTAAATATGACGAGAAGTTAGAATTATATATCTTATATTTAAATAGGGTTTAACTTTAATTTTCTCTTTTCGTTGGCTCACCGTTAGTTTTTTTTCTTTATATTTGTAGCGAAGGTGGCATAAACCTTAGTGTTGGTCACCGACAATCGGTATTTATGTTGTTTCTTTATTTTATTATGTCGTATCTTTGTTATTTTTTCTTGTTTTTTTAATTTTTAATAACTCTGCCTTTATGACACGTTTCCTATGTCTTTTGGCACGTTTTCGATCGTTATTTCCGTTTATTTTTTTTTTCAGGACTGAATTTGACATCGCCACTGATCAAGACGACGCTCATTTGTTATCATGTGGTCTTCCCTGCTTTGGATCTTCAGATTGGATTTGGATACGAGTTGCGTTCATGGATAGTTTTCTCACATCGCTCGATTCTGATTTGTGATTTGTTAGTGGTCTTTCAGTAGCTTGATCTTCTTTTATGGTTTGTTTGCTAGTGTAGTCGGATCTATTTGTATCTATCTTTATTTAAGTTTATATGATTACGTTTTTAACATTTTCCTTATATGTTCTTGTGTGATTAGTACTAGTTTCTTGTGTTAATGATTATAGGAAAAATGTTCTTATTATTTGCTTTAGTTTACGGTTGATTGTAAACCTTTATTGTAATTTGGATATTTTTCTATTTTTAGTAAAACTAGCGATTTCTATCTTGTCAAAAACTTTTACAATTTCGAGATAATTATTTTAGAGAACTATAATCTTTTGGATTAAATAAGTTTGTAGGGATTCATACAGTTTGTTAGAATACATCAGATTACATATATACACACATCAATTTTTCTACTCTTAGTGATTTCTATGTTTATAATAAATTATGTGTATATGTCATCTTGTGTTAAATCTTATATCGTGCACGTATTTATTCTATGTTGATCTCACATCGATTTTTCTTTCACTTATATATGTCTAATTAATAGTATCATGAGTTAAGGTTCAAGTTGTGAAATTTGAAAGAATTATTGTTCATTTTATTGGTATATTATAGACATATAAGAGGAATTTCTTTTCAGCGACTTTTCAATTGTAGTAGGCTTAATATCAAAATAAGTGCTCAAACTATACATTTTCCTAATAGGTTCCTACAGTATTTTTGGACCATCCATGTGTCTAATGTTACAAACGTTATCACTTTAGGTCTCCGGGATGTAATGACCGTTAGTTTCTCTGTTAGGTGATACATGTCACATCTGATAATTTTAAATTTATTTTTTAAATATTAAAAATATTATTACATTTATAAAAACCTAATTTCTTTTAAATTAAAAAACTCAAAAATTCCTAAAATCCCCAAATTCTAACAATAAACCGCCGTCGGCGCCCTTTCCGTCACGATCACCGCCTTCGATAGTCTCTGCCATCATCTTAGTTATACAACGTCAATAGTTGTCGCGATTGACTGTCAGAATGCATAAGATCGCAATTTCATCCTAGAGTTCGTGGGGTATAAAATGTCGATTCTCACGATCGACCGACGATTGGTCACGCTTTCATAGGGGTTTGGTCGCCAGGGCAGGTGATTTCGTGTGGAGCTTCATCGACAGCAAAGGGCGGCAGGGCGGTGCGGATTTAGGGGTTGAAATGAAGGTTTTCAAAGGTTTGGGGTTATTCAAAATTTATGTTTTTTCTTTTTGAAAAATATATAATTTAGTTTTTCAATTTATTTAATTTTTTAAAAAGTATCAGATTATGACACGTGTCACTTAACAGAAGAAATTAACGTCGTTGATGGCCCTGGCACCTAAAGTGTAACGTTTATAACATTAGGCACTCAGATGAGCAAAAAAAAAATTGTAGGCACTATTCGGGAAAAAAAAACAGTATAAGGGCACTTATTTGGGTATTAAAACCATTGTAGTAGGAGTAATCTCAATCAATCAAACAATTATTTAACTGATTTTGATTAACGTAATAATTGAAGTGTTGAAGAATTAAAAACCAATATCCAAATTGAATTTATATAAAAATATTATTATACTTATATAAATTTTAATTGACCTCGTTAAATAACTTTAGTAATAAAAGGAAGTGTTGTTTTTATAAAGGATCTAAATTTGAATAGTTGCATCTCTAAGATATGTGCATTGTTAATCTATAAAAATTATAATCACTTCAAAGTTTAAATTATTAAAATAAAAACACTTTGACAAAGATGAAATAAGAAGCCAAATACTTTAGGATAAGTTTAGAGTGTAGATAAAATACACAAGCTAGTATCTTATTACATAGATTATTATTTGTTTTCGTTTATTTTTTAGGGTTGGATTTGACACGACAGGATTGATTAAGATGACATTTATTTGTTACCACGATGATCTTCTTTAATTTGGACCCTCGAGTTAAATATGGATATGTAATTTGCAGTATGTCGATGGTCTTTCAATAACTTTATTCTCTTTTGTGGTTCGTTTATCAATGCAATCAAATCTATTCATATTTATCTCTTGTTCAAATATATTTGATTATGGTCATTGTGTGATCTTAAATGACTAGTTTTCTTGTGTTAGGAAAATATTCTTATTGATGTTTAATTTACAAATTGTGGTTATAAACCTTTAGGGGGCGTTGGTTCATGGAATATAAGATTACTCTTGGAATAACATTACTGGAATATAACATTACTATGGAAATGTTGTATACCTTGTTTGGTTTGTTTAGCATGAATGTAAGATTACAGTGTTCAGTTGTAAAAATATAAATTACTTTAATACACATTTTATCAATTATCCTTGTGATATATGTTTTTTAAGTTAAACTTTATATCAATTTATAAATATTGATGAAAATTTATAAAATTTTAATAGTTATACTATCTAACTTTGAGAAAATACTTTAATATAATCAATTATATTAAATTTATATTTTAAATAAGTTCATAAGTATCATATTTTATTTATATAAATATAATATAAAATTATAATATTGAGTAGATAAAAGTATTTTCTACAATATATAAGAACTATTTTTAATAACTAAAAGTTAAATATTAGTTAAATATTACATTTTTACACTAATTTATTTTATCGCATAAAAAATATAAATATTGAATATGAATATTAAAAATAAAAAAAATTAAATTCAAATTTATTATTATTTTAGTAAATCAAACTCTTTGTATATTATTATGTTTATAATTTGAGTAAATATAAAAAAATTAGAATGAGAATGAACTTATAAAAAAAGTTCATTAGTCCAAGAGTATTTTTGTCTAAAGTAGTGGAAATTATGTAATACATAAGAATTTAGATGTAATGACATTCTCACCATTTTAACTAAAAAATGTTATTGAGAAAAGAGTAGTCCAGAGCAATATTTTCCGTAAACAAACGTAAGAATATTCGGAAAAGATTATTCCTTTGATAATAATATTTTCGCGAACAAACACCCTTATTGTAATTTGAACATTTTCTATTTTAAATAAAATTAGCGACTTTAAAATAATAATAAATGGCAATTTAAAGATGAAAATACATTATAAGATTGTAATGATTTATAAAATTTACATAAGTAAATACCTACGAATTATTATAATCTAATAACAGATTTCACAAACTAACCAGATTATTTTTAACTAACCAATCCTTTGGATGCTAAGCATGATTTTCACGAGCCTTACCTCGGGGACATACGTAAGGTTTTAGAGTGGCAAATTTAAAATTTAGGAAATGAAAATAAATTATATATAAAAATATAATAAAATATAAAATATATGATAATTTAACATTTTCAAGAAACGTATACCTCCAACCGCCCCTCAGTACATCCATGCTTGCCACACCTTTAGAAAGGGACGCTCAGCTTGACAACAGTAAGACCAAAGCAATTTTCTAAAAGACATCAAACCATTAAAAACGTAAATTTCAAACCAATATTGATAAATGAAGTTAGTTGACTTTTGCACACAAGATAAATAAAACAAATGCGTGTATGAATTCATGTATCTGTAATTTTTCCATTAATTAAATTAATCAATACGAACTTAAGGTCAAACTATGTATTTAGTACCTACACTATCAGTTTTTGTCTGTTTTAGTACCTAAACATTCTATTTTTTCAAAATCATATCTAACTTTTGTTTTTTTTCATTTTAATACTCCGCTGTTAAAACTTAACGTGTTTAGACCTAAACTATCAATTTTAGTCCGCTTAGTACCTAAACTTTCAATTCTTTTTAAAACTTAACGTTAAGTTTTTAACGGGAATACTAAAATGAACAAAAACTAAATATTAGGTATGGTTTTGAAATTGAAAGTTTAGGTACTAAAAAATGATAGTTTATGTACGAACATAGTTTAACCCAAACTTAATATTGTTAAGAGGAGGACACTAGTGATACTTGTCTTACCAAAATTAATTACTCAACAGCCTATATTTCATTTGAGATGGGAATATATTGCAGTTTACCTTCAATGCATGACACACAAATTTCCTTATTTCATTTGAGATGGGAATATATTTTGCAGTTTACCTTCAATGCATGACACACAAAATTAAGGAAACTTGATATTGATGAATTTCTCTTGTATCAGTGATATGGTTTGAGGTGAAACACTTGACAAGCTGGATGGTATCCCTTTGATGCAGCCTGCTCAAACTTCTTACTAGCACCATTGTTTTCTTCTAAACTAGACTGGACGAAAAATCGAACCCACCACGATGAACTCCACATTTTAGCCTTGACAAATGAAACATCTATATCAATGCTAAGGTCATGTTTCCTGTGCTAAGACATTGTACAGAAACAAATCACAACTGGTATGAATTCTTTCAAAACTTTTTGGTTCTCTGCCTCTATCAGACCAACACAAAACTTCAATTTATCACCACCCTCACTAAAAGTCCAGGCTTGAGAGCCTTTTCCTTTCTGAACATTTTAGAGTTTAGACCATTAGAAGTTCCGACTAAAGATGATAAAGTCTCATCAATACCTTGGTCCCCTAAACTGTTATCAAAGTCCCAGAACAACCAATAGAAATATGATATCAATATCTCAAAATAAGATTAACTGAAATGAAAAATGATGTATCACAATTTTGATCCAAAGAAAGTGAGATATGTTATGGCCTATTTCAATCCCAAATCTCAATGTTACACAAGGAGCGAAAGAGACCCCGGCGACCAAATTTGGACAATTCTGCCAATTTTGCTCTCTGATGACCAGGGTAACCTGAACAGAAAAAGCAATAAAATTTTTAAACTCAAAACCAAAATGCATCAAATATGTTGAGGCAGATTTGATTAATCTTCCAGGTAGAAATCACTCATGGCTACCCTCAGACTCTGTGAACTGATCTAAATGGTAAGAGCATAAGAGCGATAACTGGCAGTGGCAACCAACTACTTATCATAATAATACATACACATTTCGAGCTAGCAGTGGCAGCCAACGATAACTGGCAGTGGCATGTGACTGGTGTATTTGCAGGCATGACAGGAAAAGAAACCAAAGACAGTAAACCTTTTTAACAAATTAACTTCCTTTTGAAGGCCATAGAGGTTGCTGATGCAATTTTTGTGTCATATGAAGTTTACAGAAGAAAATCTCATTCATCCATCATACAGTTACCATTAGAAGAAATTGTCATGGTTGGAGAGGGAAGAGAGGGAGAAGATGGAGGACGAGAGATGAGTATCGAAGAATTGGGGGAATTGGAGGAAATGAATAATCAAGGGTTAGGGATTGGGATTGAATTGGGAAGTAATTACCTGAGGGCACGCACGTGAAGAGCACGGGGGGAATTAAAATAATCACCAAGCAGATCCAAGGATGGTCCAGCAGATACATGTGGAGCATAAAGCCCAGCAGAAGCCCAATCCCTGTTATGATAACAAAATTGGTTAGTAAAGATGTCAAGCTTGCATAACAGATTCTACTATGATTGTATGTAAATAAAATGGAAATGTAACAGAAATGGTTATGAAATGAATGACTGAGAATTCACTTTTGTAATCTCCTTTCATTCTTTCTTCTAAACCTCATTCTTCGATAATTTCTTCTCTTTTAGTCTCAATCCATAACAAATTGGTATCAGAGCTTGAATTTTCCTGGCCATTGACGCTATAATGCCAAAGAAAAACCACGATGACGAATCAACTTGATGAGGAACAGGTACAAACCCCTAATTCATCTAACATGTGGGAAGCAAACTGTACAGGTTACAGTGATTATGACAAAAATAGGTTTACTTATAAAGCTGATGAGCCTGGAATTCTAAAATCTAAGCCAAATGAGTTGCTGCTCACATAACCAGCTTCAAAAATAATAATTAAGTAGGGGAGAATAGTGTTGTTAATAATAATACAGTGGGTTTAGATATGGATAGAAGAGGCATAGGGGGTCTTGTAATACTTCAGGGATTATGTTGCATAGGCCTAAAATCGAGTTACCTTTTTTGAAGGTAGTAACCCAAGAGGTTGGATACATAAATGCCTTAAGTATTTCTCATTATGTAGTATTGTTGAGGAACAAAGAGTAGAAGTAGCTACAATGTACTTAACAGGTAAAGCACAAATTTGGTTTGATGGCTACATCATGCGAAAACATCATGTTACATGGCATGAGTTTGAGGCAGACCTATGTCATAGGTTCTGTGATAAGGCCTTTGCTGATATAGTGGAAGAGTTTACAAAGCTGGTACAGAAAGGGTCTATGGAGGAGTATTAGGACATATTTGAACAACTACAGCCTCATATGCTTTCACAGAATCCTACACTAGGTGAGGAATTCTTTGTCTCTCTATTTATTAGTGGATTAAGAGATGATATTAAACATAAAGTCAAGGCCCTAGACCCTAAGACATTATTTGAAGCATACATGCAAGCTAAACTGTATGAATTGTCTGTTGAATTTGAAAGTAAGAATGAGGCCAGCTTTTAGAAACCCACCCTACCCAATTCCCTACCTGTTTCTAAACCAACTCAGTTACCATTTCCACAAAAGTGTTCACCCACTTTTCCACCAAAACAGAATTTAATAGAGTACAGAAGACAAAATAATCTATGCTTTAAGTGTGGTGAGAAATTTGTTCAAGACCATCAATGTAAAATAAAACAATTAAACATGATGATTGAAGAGGAGACTATTCTGTCTTCAGATACTCTACCTATTGATTCAGAACAGCCAGTTATACAGGAGGAAGAGAGCCTAGAAATATGAATGCTATCATTGGGTGTATTGGTCATAACACATTAAGAATTCAGGGCAGTATCCAAGGTAAACCATTGAATATTCTAATTGACAGTGGTAGTACCCATAGTTTTTAACACCACAGTGGGCTGAGGCTGGTACATGTAAGTACACCTTACCTTGGCTATTAAAGTGGCTAATGGTCAACAACTCTATAGTGCAGCAAGGTGTATAAAGTTGAATGGCAAATGCAATGACACTCTTTTGTTCATGATTTCAGACTTTACAGTTAGAATGGAGTGATATGGTCTTGGGTACATTGGATGAAATTATTCAGTCCAATCTTGATGGACTTCAACAAAATGACTCTCAGTTTTGTTCACCAATATGAACAAATTGTTATACATGGTCAACAACCATCTCAATTTTTGCAGCAAATTTCAGGAGCTTCTTTATTGAAAATGACAGCTTTAGATTCTGTTATTTTGGGACATGTTGTATTATTCTCTATGACAGAAGCCTCTAAACCTATTCCTGCAGCTATTCAGTCTCTCCTAGAAAACTACAAGGCTATTTTGAGGAGCCAAGAGGTCTTCCACCAATAAAACCATGAACATGGTATTCTCTTAAACCTGATTCAATTCCTTTCAATCTCAGGCCTACAGATTTCCACATAACCAGAAGGCTGAGGTGGAAGGTAGATTGCTGCTATGTTATCTTCTTCTATTATTCAGCCTAGTAGAGTCCATTTTCCTCTCCATGCCTCCTAATTAAAAAGAAAGATGGCTCTTGGAGGTTCTGTGTGGATTACAGGCAACTAAATATCATGACTATTAAGGATAAGTTTCCTATTCTTGTTGTGGAGGACTTATTAGATGAATTACATGGTGTTGTTTACTTTTCAAAGATTGACCTCAGATCAGGGTATTGGCAAATCAAAATTAAGGATGTAGATATTCACAAAACTGCATTCAGAACTCATCAAGGCCACTATGAATTTAAGGTGATGCCTTTTGGCCTACTAATGCCCCAACTACTTTTCAGGCATTAATGAATGAATTATTTAGTTCACTCCTTAGAAAATTTGTATTGGTGTTTTTTATGACATTTTAGTCTACATCAGTTCTATGGCAGCTCATATTGCTCATTACAAAAATTTTAGAGGTGTTACAAGCTAATCAATTGTTTGCAAAGTTCTCTAAATGTTTTTTTGGACAAACCCAAGTAGAATACTTGGGACATTATTTCAGCGGCAGGGGTTGCTATTGACCCTTAGGTGGAAGCAATGAAGAGCACGGGGGAATTAAAACAATCACCCAGCAGATCCAGAAGGATGGTCCAGCAGATACAGGTGGAGCACAAGAAACCCAGCAGAAGCCCATTCCTGTTATGATACAAATTGGTTAGTAAAGATGTCCAGCTGGCATAATAGATTCTACTATGATTGTATGTAAATAAAATGGCAATGTAAACAGAAAATGGTTATGAAATGAATGACTGAGAATTCACTTTCTGTAATCTCCTTTCTTTCTTTCTTCTAAACCTCATTCTTCGATAATTTCTTCTCTTTTAGTCTCAAGCCATAACAAAAATATATCAATATATAACCACTTAATCTGCAGCATAACTCTTATTTTCTAATATGTACTTAAAGTGTAGGGAATTACCTCTAAAAATTACTAGACCATCAAAGGCCACCCTTGTCAATTCAGGAAGAATCTTGTTCAGGTATTTTGGAGACAAGTAATCAAGGGCATCTGAAACAATTACAAGAGAAAAGGACTTTGGCCTATACGGAAGAGGGAACTTGATATCGGACACACGCACAATGCCTTTGCGCACAAGACTCTTGCAGCTTACTTCAGCATCTTCTATATCATAGGTTGCACCCCAGGCTTCAGTTTCCTTTTCTTTCAAAAGTTTAGATACCACTGAACAGGTATCAGGACCTACATGCAAAACCTTGCGCATGCTATCACCATATACCTTCTTTAAGAAAGGTATTACCATCGGAACTTCTAGTGTGCATGAATAGTCACCTATAAAGTAACAAGAAATTAATTGATTTTTTGAATGTTACACTTGACAAATATATACCCCTCTTCAAATAATAGAAATTCAAGTACAACCATACACTTTAATTGTTCCAATTATCACAGCACATGCAAGCCATATCTACCTAATGTACCCACCGCTAGCATACTTTCTATTCCTCATTCTAGAAACAATGAAGGAGAAACTGAGCTTCAGTGTCCTAATTCTAAGATGTACTCAAGGAAACGGTCATGTCAACAGGAAATATTGAATCTCTGGTATAAGTACCAAGGGAAAGAAAGCCAAACTACAATGAGATGCAGAAGCAAGCCTCTAGATCTAGTCTCCTTTGAATTTGATAAATTTACATACTTAAAAAGCTTATGTTCTCCGATTTGATAACGATTTCAAATTTTTAACAAATTGTGTGTAATAAAACATATGAAAGCATGAGCTTAAGAAAGATAATTATATCTAGTAAATAATAAACTCATGAAATAAAGAATCTAAATTAAATTCATCAAATTTGTACCCTCTCAAGAATATCGGTGTAATGAATCTTAAACAACTTCTAGATAATCAGTACATTCATCCTCAATTTATATGACAAACCAAAACCAAAACTACACTCACAAACATAGCATTGGTGAATCCGCTAAGTATGCAAGTATTTGAGTTCTAAAGAGACATCGAAAGAAACAATGGGTTAGCATACAGTCCATTAATTCTCAATAAACTCATCATTACGATTCAAATTCGAAGAAACACCCGTTAATTGTGAAAGCCATAGTTTTAGAAGCTGATTAAAGATGTATTGGAAAGTAATCGACTAAAAAGTAATTAAGGGAGCAGGACCCCAAAATGCTAGACACATAAGCATCATACAGAAAGTAACTTCACAATCACAAGTTAATAGCAAAAATCGAATCAATATAAGCATAAAAGTAAGATAAAATGTACCTCCATTCCGACGAACTGCTTCACCTCGGAATTTACCTATATCCTCCAAAAAAAGCAGTGTGAGAAAAATAATTGAACAAATAAGATTAGCATATTGAACAACAAAACAAGAAATCCAAATCAAAATGAATGATACCTGGACCACTATACACATAGCCAATAAGAAGGATAACTTGCTATTTCTAAGGGTGCGTTTGGTTCACGGAATGTAAGATTATCAGTTGTAGGAATGTTGTATTTTGTGTTTGGTTGGTTTAGCATGAATATAAAATTATTGTGTTTGGTTAAAGAAATAAAAGATTGTTGAAATGTATATTTGACCAAATTTTCCTTATTATAATTTTTTTAACAAGTTGAATTTTACTATAATATTACTATAATTAATTTATATATTTTCTTTAAAAATTTAAATTCATAAAATTTATATAATTTTTTTACAAAATTGAAAAAATAAATAAGTTTAATGAAAGATATAAAATTTTAATTATAGACTTTTTTTGTCAATCTAAAATAGTTTAAGGGTAAATTTATAATTTAACCTTCTTAGAATTTTTATTATTCAATGACAGAATAATGATATTTTTGGGAAAAACAATTAAGGGTATTTTAGTCCAAAACGTTGGAAATCCAACAATACCTAAGGGAATAAGGTAATCACATTCCCGGTAATATACTCTAAAAAATCCACTGTTGGTAATAAAAAATTACCGGGAATGAGATTACTGGTCAACCTAACGGGAGAATGAGGATTCCATTCCCCCGGTAATACAATATTCCTTGAACCAAACGGGGCCTAAAAGTAACAAAACTAAAATAAATAAATAAAGGGTAAAATAGGATTTAATACATAAATTATCAATTTTGATCTCTTTTAGTACTTAAACTTTTAATTTTTTCAAAATCATACCTAAAGTTTAGTTTTTGTTTCATTTTGGTACCCGCCGTTAAGTTTTAAAAAAATGAAAGTCTAGGTACCAAAATACGTTTATAACCTAAATCATATTAAGTTTTTAAAAAATTGAAAATTTAGGTATTAAAATAGAGTAAAAATGATAATTTAGGTACTAACATGTTAAATTTTTAACTATGGGTATTAAAATAAAATAAAAAGTAAACTTTAGGTATGATATTGAAAAATGTTAAAGTTTAAATATTAAAACATATCAAAACTAATAATTTAAATACTAAATATGTAATTTAACCATACATAAATAAAAAGAATAGAAAAAAATATACCACAACAGGTTTGATAAAATGGGAGAAGATCAGGGTTTAGAATGCATAGCAGAAGCAAAGGAAAAGTTTCCGCCGTCGGAAAAGCGGCGCGTGGGGTTTACTGGCCTCCTTGACATGGTTGCGTGCTTACCATCTTTCTAAATCTTTGCCGTTATTCGCGCTGTAAGAAACAAACAACAGAATTCCAGCTTCATTAAAGTTAAAACTAAAAGAGCAGCAATCAAAATGAGATCCAAAGCATGGGAAAGAAAACACAGGTAGAGGGCAATGTTCAATGTTCACCTTAGATGTGAAGAAACGAGAAAAGGGCACTTGGATCTGTGATTGTCTGCCTTTGTTTTCGCTTCTTATTCCCTTGTAAACTCCATTATTAAAGTCAGATAATGGGATTAAGATTGCAGTATCTTCAAATTTCGCTATTTTCTTCTTTTTTTATTTGTGTAAACACTGAGAAATATGGGTCGCCACTCGCCACAAACACCAGTATACGTCGCGCGATACATTTACTAATAGCGCGTCGGTAATGCATACGCCATCATTATCAGCATGGATATAATCATTATTCTTCAGAAAATTTTAGGGAAAACTGTATCATTCGTCGTTATATTATTATCCCTCTTCTACTTCCATCACCAGATCATTTTTCTTTAGAAGGTATTGTATGACCTGCTCCAGGCTCGAAGAAATTGGATTCTCATGCTAAAGAATTTCGAAGCAAACTCAGATACCATGTAAAAGATGCTCGGTGATCGGAGGTATGACTGTAGACGATATCAATGGTCAATTAACCGTTCGTAAATCGTTTAACAGTAAGTTCGTGTATGTTCAATTATGTATTAAATGAAAGAACATGAATAAGATTTTTTATTTATGGATGAACACGAAAAATAGTTCGTTCGTTTATTTACGTCCGTGAACATATGGTAATCTGTTTAACTATTATCGCTTTTATTTCATGATAAAAAGAAAAAAAAACCTAAATTGCTTTAAGACTTTAACTTTATAATTTTCATGTTACTTATTTACGATTTATGCATGATTTTACTCGAAAAAATTAATTCTAAGTTGTAGTTTATATTAATGAATTTTATGTGGTTACATTTGTTGTGATTTATGTTCGTTTGTGTTCGTTTGCGTTCATTTATTATTTTAACGAATGAATATATAAAAAAATTATGTTCATTTAGATACCTCGATTAATCCTAGACAATTGAAGCAGAGCTTTAAGCCATCCTAGAAGGGATCAAGATCGCATGGGACAATGGTTTTGAGCGCATAGTTGTGCAAACTGACAGTTTTGATGCCTTCCACTTGCTCTCCCCTCCTTCCACGGACAACCCTCTTGCCATCATCTGCTCCATTGCAAGACTTTCGAACAAAGCTTGGTACATTGACGTTCAAAAAGTCCATCGCAAAACGAATGCGGCTGCGGATTTCATAGCGAAAATAGATGCTCCATTGGACGGCTCAGTGCTGATTTTCGACTCTTTTCAACCTCAGCTTTGCGCTCTTCTCCACCGTGATGTTCATGACCCTCCTTACCTGCGTATAAAACATTAATGTAATGGTTATTACCTCCTCTATTATTAAAAAAAATGACTACCAGGGTTTGTTCATAAAAAATGAATGTGATACGGTAATGGGTTACATTGATATTTTGGATACTAACAGTTACCAGACTAAGGCCCATTATAAATGTATTTATAACCAAAACGAGTTAATTGTATCATGTGTTCTTAAATTATGATTCTTATTCTAAATTGGTCCATAATTTTTAAATATTTTAATTTCATCTCCAAACTATGCTTTCATTTTAAATTAATCCCCAAACTTTTGAGCATACCAAATTTATCCCCAAACTATAACGCTCATTCTATATTGATCCTTAAACTTTTAAAAATTCTAATTTTCAACTTTGAAGTTTTTAATGATTTAGAGGGATATTATTGGCATGTACAAAAGTTTGGGGATTAATTTAGAATAAGGTGTCATAACGTCCTTTTTATTTTAAAATTTTTACGTTTTAAAGAAAAATTCAATCACGACTTATTTTAAAAATATTCATTTTAAATTAATTTGATTAAATTGAGTAGAGACCACTACTAGAAAAACCCCTTTAATGACGCTCATTACGCGTCATCTATGAGTGCAGATGACACACAAATGCGCGTCATTGAAGCCACTGACATAAATCTCAGATGACACGCAATTGTGTGTCATAAATCTATGACGTGCATTTATGGCGCACATTTATGACACACATTTATGACGTGCATTGAGCGTCATTGAAGCCCCCGTCATAAATGAAGATGACACACATTTATGTGTCATAAATTTATGACACGCATGTATGACTTACATTGCGTGTCATTGAAGCACACGTCATTAAAAAAGATGACACACATTTGTGTTTCATGATTGTATTTCGTAAATTATATATATATATATATATATATATATATTGTAGATTGACAAATAATCAAACTAAATCACATTTAATGACTCATAATACTAAATATATATATCATATTATATATAATCAATCCATTTGCATACAATATATTCACATTAAGTTATCAAAAATATTGTAATCATATGTCGATACAAAATATCACAGCATAATAAAGTTCTACTAATATGCCCTTGCCATCCGGGCGTGTACACAAGAAATCATCATCAAGTTCTACTAAAGGGGAGTCTTGTGAAAAATCAAAAGTAGCATGGTATTCAAACATATCATCAGTTTCACCATTTGCTCCATACTTGTACATCTTATGTGG